TTCTATGTTTGTGAGATGCTCGCTTCCCTCGCTGGGGCTGAATTGGATACTCATGCTGCTCAGTGCGCGTGTTAGCGCATTCCACCAAGTACGGTATGCTCCCACTTTTTTCCTCCCTGGCAGCTTCGGGTTCAGAATCCATTTGAAGAGCGCGCTACTTTCCTGTGCATGGGCCATGTCGTGTGCGAACCTGATTTGCCGCTGTAGGATGACCGTATCGATACACAATAGCGTTCGTAGAGCTTTCGGGGTCGCCACCACGAGCTCCCGATTTGTACGTTTTTCCTCCCAGTGCCAGTTGAGGCTGCGCCTGACCAGTATTCTGGTTGAGGAGTTAATGGCAGCCGTCTTCTTGAGGATCCAGGCTTCGCACCCATATAATAGCACAGGCAACACATATGTTGCCATTGTCATTATTTTGAGTTCGGGTCTCAGCGCACTGGTCCATATTCTGCTCATTTTGGTCATCTTGAGTCGGGCTGCCATCTTCCTCGCTGCTATTTCCGTTTCTGTGCCTCCATTGGCTTGCAGCATAAAACCCAGATACTTGCCTTCGCGCTGACTTGGGATTGCTCCCTTTTCTGTCTCAAGCACATCCTCACACTGGTTGGAAATCAGTACAGTTTTCGAGTGGTTTACCTTTAGCCCGTTGCTTTCAAGATGCGAGGTGATCTCATCATACACTGTCTGTGCAACATGTCGCCCCACTACCAACGCTATATCATCGGCGTATTCCAGATGTTTGACTTCGAGGTTTTCGGCCGGGTGCCACGCTGTCATGACAAATGACATAAACACTTTGAACAATGTGGGTGCCAGGGAGCACCCCTGTTTAACTCCTCCGCAATATTTAAAAGTTCGTTCTGTGCCTTTCACTACCGCTGTCGTATCGTGATGCATGCTCCTTATCACGTCGATAAGCTTTTCTCCCACATTGTAGTATTTAAGCGCTTCCCAGACCAATTGCCTGGGGACCGAATCAAACGCTGCCTTCAGGTCTATGAGGATTACTACCACCTCCTTGCGTCGGTTGTAGCTCTCTCTCAGATAGGTCTGAATGTACAGAACGTTGTGTATGGTGGATCTACCCCTTCGGAAGCCACTTTGGCTATCCGAGATTCTGTTCGCCGTCACTGCATTCACCCTGTCCGCCACAATGCTACCCATTATTTTTATTGCCGTATTCAACACAGAGATCGGTCGATAGTTCGCAGGGTCGCACTTAGACCCTTTTCGTTTATAGATAGGCAGTATCTCAGTGTGCAACCATTCATGTGGCATTGGGAATCCCTCCCAAATTCTGCCATATTCATATTCCAGCAGCTTAGAAGCCTGATCGAGATCAGCTTTCAGGGCCTCTGCAGGGATTCCATCAGATCCAACCGCTTTGTTGTTTTTCAGCCTCATGATTGCTTGCCGCACTTCTAGTCTCGTTATGGGGCGTTGTGTGCGTCGGGGTGGTGGAGGATAAGGGGACAGTTTTTGGTTGGACTCCCACGAGTTGATCGTGTTGAGCTGACATTGGATGTGGAGCGAGATCTCATCTTTTGCTCTACGGCCCATCAGTCTGTTTCCTTTTGGGTCGGTTATGACTAGGAGCTCTCTTCTGCGCGGGGGCGCATCTATCTCTTTCAAGATTTGAAACTTTTCCCAAGTGAGTCTGTGACCGCGGTTGGCTGCTGCTAGCTTCTCGTTGATCGTTGTCAGCCATCTATTAAAGGTGAC